GGCTCGTGCCCCACGTTGGGCGCCAGTTGTCCCGACCCGCAGGACTTCAACCAGGGCAGTGAACCTAAGCGAGAAGGAATGAAGGGACAAGAGACACGAAGAAGGACAGCAAGACAAGGATTCTGATCAAGCTGCCAAATTTTATTTTTCACACAGGGATATTTATATGCTTAGAATAAGGAAGCTTTTTCATTGGGCGTAGCAGCTGCAGGATGCTTGCTTAGGGCAATGTGAAAAGGTGGTCGTTAGCAGCTACCTGGTCTTTGTTTGGGGCAGGATGCAAAGACCAAATTCTGTAAATAGCCTTGAGAGATGTTCCAGCGAGATAGTCAAGCTTATCATGCAGAGAGACTCCCTGCAGGGCTCTCAACAGTTGGCCTGGCCTTCCTGACAATTTCCCCAATTGTCACTTTGTGACAAGGCCTGTCATTACGTGATGGCTTCTTTTGGCCATTTTCAGATAAAGATAATTTCCTTAACTTCCATTTTATTTGACAACAAGCAGTTTGGAAGAGAAAGGAAATGCTTCGAGTCATTTATGGATTAGGGTTTTGTCACTTCAAAGGCATCTTTGATCTAAAAATATGTGCTGTACCAAATTCATTATGTCTTTCCTTAAAGAGCTCTTAAATTTATTGATCTTCTCCTCAATTATTCTGCTTTTACGTCCAGTAATGATGTGTGAGACGGCAGTGTGAGGAAAAGCCTAAGGAGAAGAGGGGGTAGAGGGGGAATGGAGCCAACTGGTCATTTCTAAGGTCATTACATGAGGGAAACAACAGGTGCTTTTGTTCAGAGTGGATTCTTTTCGGAATCACTGGTGACAAAGGCCTCTCTGCTCCTCATTGCTCCACATAAGGATGTTATACCAACCAAGTAAGACAAAAGTGTGTTTAACACTGAAGCTCACAAAGAAAAACCCAGCTTGTACCGAAGTTGGGTTTGTGATCATTTTTATCTTTGTTGTCCTGCGCATGTGTTTCCCAGCCCATTCATACCATGCAAAAACAACAAGTGTCTTCTGTTGTTGACCAACACTTTTCTAGCTTCTGCTAGAGGCAATCTTACCTTGGTCTGAGGCTGCTCAGCTTGCTTAAATTCTCACAACTGGCTGGCTGGAAAGATTCTACAAGCCAAACACAAGAGGCTAAAACTCCATTGGTTAAGATGCATCATATGCATAAATTGTAATGTTGAATGAAAACCCCTTTGTACAACTACTGAAAGACAATTTAAAAAATAATATTACATAGTGAGCATTTAGAAGGTCTGCCTGCCCTCTTAGCCTTTCTTGTCTTGGTGATACTGTTCTGATCCTATGTGAGCCATTTCTCATGTTTCAATCAACATGGTAATTTTAGGACAAAGAGGTAAACAGTTTACATCCCAAATATCGCAATTGACCATTATCCCCTCACACTTCATTTTTAATCATCAAGCTTATTTCCATTTCTGCAAAGAGGTTAAAAGAAACAGCTGAGCACCATGTGCTGGTACATGCCTGCACTCACTCTCAACCCTTGGAAGGTAAAGGTAGGAGAATCCCTAAGCTCAAGATCAGCTTGCATTACATAATGAATTCCAGACTAGCCTGGCTATGAAGACCCTCTCTTAAAAATAAAAACATCAACAACAGAATCCATTCAGTTTCCATTTTCTTGGTCTTATGCATTAATGACTTCCCGTCCAACAGTCTATACCACAATTTAAGAACATTCAGATACTTTTAGTATTTATATGTTCATTTTAGCAAATCATACACCCCAGGGCTCACACATGGGAGGCACAGGTAGTCTGCCCTTGAGCTGCACCCCAGTGTGGAAATATGCAACTTGTGGCGTATGACTGTAAGTTCCTCAAAAGCAATGAAATTTGCTTCTTTAACAAAAACAAAAACAAAACAAAACAACAACAAAAACAATGCTCTGGGTTTCCAGAAATGAGTGTAGTGTAACATAATGTTTTCCATTTTGAAAAACTAGTATAAAGCTTTAGGACTCTTGAGGCTTTATTTACGCCTGGGATAAAAATAGCTCTTGCACAGAAATGGAGGGACAAAGGGTGGACAAATGCAGCAGTGGTACTCATTAGACACTATGTGCAAAATGAACTATACAACTTACGGATGTGGACAGGAGGGAAGAGAGGGAGAGAATGAAGGAAATGACGTGGTTCAAAAAGCAACGTACTCATTACCTGCCTTATGAAACTGTAACCCCTCTGCACATCACCTTTAGAATAACAATAAAAAAGCTTAAATAGCTCTCAAAGCAATGGGTAGAGCATTTGCCATGTGCATCCTCACTCAAAACCTAATTTAGCTGGTTTTTATAGACCAAAAAAAAAAAAAAAAAAAAAGAGGTATAAAGAACCTACCAGCAACTCACCCATGGTCTCAGATTCAGTAAGTAACAGAGCCAGAATTCCAACCTGGATGCATTGGATCCAAAGCCCCATTCTGAATGTTGGAGCTGCCTCAACTTTCAGGACCTGGGCAGCCTACAGAGGTCCATGCTACTTCCTGTCTAGCTCCTGCCCCACTTCAAGTGCATGTCAGTGTCTCCTTCTCTCCTCCCTTCTCTTCAGATTCTCAATCTTGGTTTCTTGCCCTACACATTCCAGTTGAATGGGCAGAGAGGCTACAAAGTGGAAACTTGCCCTCTCTCTCAGTTTCTCCAGTGTTCCTTCTGCCTGCGCATTAAGCTTGGGTATTGGGACGAGGATTGACCTACAGAGATCTGTTAAGCAGACACAGTGAGGATCATGATTTCTAGCAATCACTGTATCAATCACTGCATTAAAGATACTTGAGATAATTTCTCTTGACTTTGTTTTGGGTCTGTGTGTGTGCGCGCGCGCGCGCGTGCGCACGCGCATGCCAGTTCTGGAGCTTGAAGTCAGGGCCTGGCACTGCCCCTTAGTTGTTTTTGCTCATGCCTGGGGTTCTATCACTGGAACCACACAGTTTTCCTTACAGCTTTTTGGTGGTTAACTGGAGATAAAAGTCTCAAAGACTTTCTTGCCCAGGCTGGCTTTCAACTTTGTTTTCACCAGAAAACTTTGATTTTTGTTTTTTAGTTATATACATTCTTATTCTTTTCTCTAAACAGTCATGGTTAAACTGTTATATGAAATGAGTGTGTGTGGAATAATGAACCTTGGCAGAATAGAGTCCAAGATCATCACGAGAAGTAAAAGGCGGTTCAGTGAAATGAAAGGCTTATATAAGTCCACTTAAATATACTTATGAATGTTTTGTCATCATCCGGATAGTTTTCAGGCATTCCAGTCTGTGTGAAAAGAGACAATATCTTGACTTTGATTGGTTCATGTGTGTGAGACAGATAATACAGAAATACACACAAAGATGAGCAAAATAAAATAATACTGTCCATTTATCTTACAGAAATACACAAAGATGAGCAAAATCAAATAATTTTTATCTTAGTTTTTCATTTTCTGTCATATCTTTCATCTTGTCTTTTAAGTTTCTCTTGCTCAGCAACAATTTTTGGTGCTTTTTTAATTTTTAAAATTAAGTGTAAGTAGTTGTACAAAGAGGTTCCAATTCAACCTGTCAAGTACATGTATCTTTAAAAAAATTAGTTATCTTGAAGTGGTTGCATAAAGGGGTTTCAATTCGACATGTCAGTTTGTGAGCTTGGTGCATCTTGAATAATGTCACCCCTTCCATCTTTCTCCCCCTTCTCTCCCAACCCACCCATCCCTTCAAGTTACCTGGTTCCCTTTTCACATCTGCACATTAACTCTGACGACTGTATTTGCTTACCTTTCCTTCCTCTCTCCATTTCGTCTGTCTTCCTTCCCCTAGTCTCCCCCAGCCCCTCCCACCTCTCTGGGCAACACATGCAGAAAACTTTGATTTGGATTTTCCTGTGAAATCAATAAACACCATTGGGTGTTGGTTTTGAGGGAGAGTTTTAGAGGAAGATCGCCCATCTGTCTTAGCATTCACCTGCTTTGTGGCATATGAATCCATGCTACAAATGGACAGCCAGCAAAGCTCAACCAGCAGCCAGGCTCTGAGGAGACAAAAGTAAACACTGGTTTCCAAGAGATTGCCCTGCTGCAATATGATATCAGCTGTGAGGGAAAGCCACCTCCTCCGGTCAACTGAGAAAAAAAATCATATTATCCTCACTGTGGTCTACAAATAGCTTGTAAGCCACATTCCCCGTTTGGAGGATGACAATGACAAGGCTAACCTCACGGCTGTGGGCAGGCCTGATCCCATCTCTAAACACAAACACTTCTGCCTGGGTTGTGGCTGGGGGCTATGCTGTGGTCTCCCAACCCCCACCTTCTCCCCTCACCCCCTTGTTAATTGGCTGAGACCACCAGAATTTGGAGGACACAGATGTCACTGATAGCTTTCCTAGGGAACACATTTATGCCCATCTGTTGCAGCCTAGAAGGCTGTTCATATATCCACAAGGCCTTTATTTAATTCTTGTCAGAAAGTAATGTAAATCCAGTTTACCTCAGAGGTCGCAGTGAGATTTATGCCAATGAGCCCCCTGCAATTTACACACACTGTCGTTGTATAGGATGAAAAGAAAGCCTTTCATGTTGGTGAATATTAACGAGAGCCTGCCTTTCCAAGAGAGAGGGGGAGAGAGAGAGGGGGAGAGAGAGGGGCTTTCTCATTGAGCTTTCTCCTGATTTTAATAGAGCCCATGCCAGTTGGTATACCCAGCTTTACAAAAGAGGAAGAAGGAGGAAAAGAAGAAGAAGAAGAAGAAGAAGAAGAAGAAGAAGAAGAAGAAGAAGAAGAAGAAGAAGAAGAAGAAGAAGAAGAAGAAGAAGAAGAAGAAGAAGAAGAAGAAGAAGAAGAAGAAGAAAGAGGAGGAGGGGGAGGAGGAGGGAGAGGAGGAGGGAGAGGAGGAGGGGGAGGAGGAGGGAGAGGAGGAGGGGGAGGAGGAGGGAGAGGAGGAAGAGAAGGAGAAAAACTAATCTTTAAACTAAAGTTTCTTCTTTTATAAGAAGTGAAAGAAAAAGTGAGAAATCCTAGCAAAGGAGACTGCTATGTCTTTAATTATCTGTGGAGAGACAGAACGCCCCTGAACTTGGAAAAGCCAGAGTGTGACAAGTGAGCATGCATGTTCTGACCTGAATTATTACTTGAAGTCTAGGGAGAATTCCGATCATAAGCAATTATCTTTCAGTGTGAGCGTTGTTGTCAGACGGACCAGTTGAATTAGCCCTCCGCCTCCTCAGCTGTACCTTTCTAGTAGAGATAGAGGAAATGATGGGAGTTGGATAACTTTTTAAAGACCTGGCTAAGTAGAAATTGATCCACAGTAAAGCCGAAGAGTGCATACAGAGAAATATTTTTACTGGAAACCTTAAAAGCATTTGAAAGGACTTCCATTGATCTTTTTTTTCCCCCTATAGTGATATTCTGTGTCAGTAGGCTAGAAGGCAAATGGTTTTGGAGACACCTCTGAGCCAAAGTCTTTTTTTAATGTGACTTTGGGCAAGTTACTTAACCCCCATGACTCTCAGCCTTGTCATCTCTAAAGTGGGGATAAAATCTGCATCACAAGGTTTTACATTTGCCTTGCCCTCACGTTACCCAAAACAGACTAAGTATGTATCCCATGGCAACTGTCCTACTTCACTCCGCCTTTCAAATTGTTCACAGAAAATAATAGTTAATTGCCTGGCACCAGTGGCTCATGCCTGTAATCCTAGCTACTCAAGAGACTGAGATCTGAAGATCAAGGTTCAAAGCCACCCTGGGCAAGAAAGTCCATGAGACTTTTATCTCCAATTAACTAGCAAAAAGCCAGAAATGGAGCTGTGATTCAAATGGTAAAGCATTAGACTTGAGCGAAAAACCCAAGCAAGAGCATAAGGCCCTAAGTTCAAGCCCCAATACAGGCACAAACAAACACCAACACCAACACAACAATCTCCTCAGCATTTTAAGCACCAGACTATTTTTTCCTGTTTTTCCATATTTAAAAAAAGAGATTAAGTGAGACATTCTCTTTTTGTTCTTTAGAAGGATGGCAGCATGCAACTTCTAGGCTGCTACTCTTCATTCATCATTGTGACCTCTGATTTCCCAAGCCTGTGTTACTCAGGCCATACTTCTCCAGGGTTCATAAACACTGCTCATTTGCCTAAGTGAATGGCTTTGAGGTAGACAGCATGATGATTTTTTTGCACCACATTTAACTTTCTGTGTATATTTTTGCGGAAGATAATGTTTGAATTCAGTTGTGATTTCAAAGCCCACGCTAATGGAAGATAGCAACAGAGGAGCCTAACACTGGGTTGTAGGCTGGGGTTGCAGACGAGTAAGATCCTGATTAAGAGTACAATGTGTTGCTGGTAGCACACGAAGCAGAGAGTCCACATGTGTGTAGATTGTGCTTAATGACAGAACCAGATAAAGTAATACCAATACATCAGAGAGTAGTTGTCATACTAGGGAGTCTAACACCCCATCCTGTTGGTGTCTGAGCCCAGGAACGAGGAAGACCTAAAATTATTCCCAAATGGTCTCTTGCCTCCTATCAGAGGTCAGCAATACCACTTGGTTACTCCCATGGTCCTCAGACCCATTAAAATGCTTTGTTTTATTTTATACCAGTAGTAAGACTTGAACTCCTGTGTGCTATCTATTGGCTTTTATACACATGCCCTACCATTGAACCCTTCCTCTAGTTCCAGCTTTATGTTGGTAAACTGAGAGTTTGTCTGCTTGGGCTGGCTTTGAACCTCAATCCTCAGATCTCTATCTCTTGTGTAGCTAGAGTTATAGCTGAGCAATGATGGTTCTCACCTATAATTCTAGCTACTAATATTCCTTTATCTCAATATGTAATCCACGGCTCATCTTTTCTAGTTGACATCATTTTTCCAAACCTCTATTCATGCATCAAATTATTGTATCATTTCATCTATAAACATTTCAGAAATTAATCCAAAAAGATATGTACTCCTAAACATAGCCACAATGCTATTATCCTTTCTTTAAAGTGAACAGTAATCCTTTTATTATGAATTATTATGAGTTACTATTATCAGTTAAGATACAGGAACCTATTTATGAAGAAAGGCATTTAACCACTAACTCTTACATTACAAATTAATGCTTTTGTTCCTATGGAACACAATATCAGGAAAACTCCTACTTGTAATGGTAGCCACTCTGGAGGCTGAGATTTGAGGATCATGGTTCAAAAGCAGCCCAGGCAGAAATGTCTGTGGGACTCTTATCTCTAATTAACCACCAAAAAGCCAGAAGTGGAGCTCTGGCTCAAGTGGTAGAGTGGCTAGCTTTGAACAACAAAAGCCCAGGCCCCGAGTTCAAACCCTAGGACCAACACACACACACACACACACACACACACACACACACACACACACACACAAAATGCACAATGTCACTTCACTATTACGGTCCTTCCCCACTTTCAGTGATTTGTTTGGGTAAGTATTTTCCAACTTACTGGCCTCAAATAAAATTTTATGTGAGCAGCCATCACATAAAATAGATATGAATGAAACCGTTCTGGGCTCATGCTGCCAACTAGTCACCTGGCCCTTTGTTTCCCCAAGTGAGCAGGCTGAGTGTGTAACATCTTCATTATTTCAGGACAAGACAAATCGCTGAGCAAAGCAATGTAAGGCACAGGTGAGAACCACGCACATGGACATCTAAGGTCCAAGGAAAGGGGTACAACTTCCTTGTTAAGCTTCCGATTCAAAAAAGCCATGTTTCATGTAAAAGTATTAAAACTGTTTGTTATAATGGGGTGGGGGGAATTCACTGTGCTCATAAGTAATGACCCTACTCAGCTGACTGTGTATTGAGGTCTCCTGGGAAGAGAGATATTTGCCTGCAGTCAGGATTAATCTATAAAGGCAACCACCACCTAGACCCCAGCCGTCTTCACTTCCCCTTCATTGGCCCCTGTGGAATCACATTGTAACATAGATAAAGTCAAAATCAGGTTGCCTTCCACCTAGGAAAAGTGTATCCCTGTGATTTCAGTGCTTCAAAGCTAGAGTATTTCTTTAACTATGTGAGATATATATTTCCGTTTTAGAATCAGTGATTACTTCTTGTCTGCCCCCCTCCATATTTATTAATTTCTTTTCCACACAGGACCCAGAGTAGATTCATGCCAAATCATGCTTGTTGGATATTTAAGAGCTGTTATTCAAATCCTGTCATGCAAGTTTGTTAAGTTGTGATTTGTACTTCGACCAAATTATCGAACTTTGACTCTCTTTATCTTCTAGTGGAGACCATATTTCTCCTTATTTCATTATAATATTATAGCTTAAGATAATATACCCAGTTCTATTTTCTTTGTCAGGATTGAAGAATAAATGGCTTTTCTTCTAGATCCTATGAAAGTGGAAGGATGGAATCTGTTCTCCAAGATTTCTTAATCAAAGTAAATTCATCCTCTGTCACATTGTTGCTCTAGAATGTTTTTTTTACAAGTTGAATATATAGTTGTATTTACTTTCAAATGAGATTGACTTTGAAGGTTATAAAGGTTTATTCTGGGTTTTGTTTTTTTTTTTTTTATTCTGGAGACTTAAAAACATGCCAAGTGCAATAAGCAAGGACGTTCAGTAAGTACTAACTACCATCAAAGAATGTACCTTAGTTTACATTTTACAGTTCTGAATTAGCTACTCAAGCCAAGCATTAAGGAAAACATAGAAAAGAAACAATTATTTTTCTCCCATAAAAGATTGTATCAAAAAAGTTCATGTGTTTCATTTAACTGTTTTGATTTACTCATTTAAAAAAATGTTTTTCTGTATCACTGATAGTTTGATACTGGCAAATATTCCTTCATTAACTAAAAGCAAAGAAAAGAATGAATCTGAAAACCCAAATCATGTCCCCCTTGTTAGAGAAAGGAGAAAACGAGAGCCCTTCCGCTTGAGGAACTACCAAAGAAATAAGTAGTGTGAATCAAAAACAATAGTTATGCCTCTGATCAGATAGTTACACTGCATATTTGCTTCATGACTAGAGGGTGTTTTCTCCCCCTCGGGAATATACGTTTTACAGAAAATATGGAATCCTGCCCATCTCAAACTGGACTCATTTCCCAAATCAGCCTGCTAATACCAGGTCTCCACAGCTGGAATAGGTTATGGAGAAAACAAGAATGCCTATTCGGACCAAATCTTTGACTCAAAATAAGTCATGTTAAGGATTGCCTTTGTCTATACCACAGGGTGATCAGGAATTACAATAAGAGGTAAGCAAACAAATCCATTTCTCTGTAGGGGCTTCTTATTTTGGTTTGTTCTCCTTGGGTTCAGTCAGAAGTCATAAAATCCCACTGTAATTCTCTCTCCCATCCACAAGTGGAATTATATGTTTCTGTGTATAACACAGTCTACAGAGCTCCTTCCCGCTGAGACATGCTAGGCGGGTGAAGAGGTCTGCTGGATGGAGATTAGGTCCACAGAACCAGGTTCCTACCTGTGTCTTCCCACTACAAGCAGCTTTCCGCCTGCAGTTCTTTCCTACTCAGGACTTGCCAGGGGCTATTTGTTCCCAAGCCAGCAGGAGGCTCTCTGCCAAGATCTGTGGTTGGTTGGGGTGAGTCACACAACAGATCATAACAGATTTTATTCTGTCAGCCCAGGAGTGTGGTCGGCCAATCTCCAGTCCAGAGGACTGCTCTCTGGAGCCTTTGACATTTTAAGTATAAAATAAATAAAGAGCTTTGTGTGATGTCACCAAGAGAAGAGGAGGGGCTGGGGACAAATGTTTCTGTCTGATCTGTAATCCCACTGATCCTCATTCCCCCCACCCCCCAGCCACTTTAGCCTCACTTCTCCTACACCTCAGACAGAAGCCAGCCAGGATGACCTGGGGGCAAACAGCTGATTAAACTAAGTTGGCTGGGAATGGGATATATGTTGGGTTTTTTTTTTTTTTTTTTTTTCTGTTTTAGCAAATAAAACTCCTATCATTTTCTCTGAAAAAGTCTAACTGGTAATAATCATATTCCAATACTCTCACACAGTTGCTGCTCATTAATAAGTGTGGATCGGACTCATTATTTAAGGCATAATTTTATTATTAAATAGCTATCGACTGGTAATATAGTGACACATATATATTTTTTCTGAAGATTTTACAGAGCCGCATAATTTTCTTTCATGAACACATTAATGTTCATGAAGTCAACTAGGAAGCCAAATTCAGCAAGGGTAAAGTAAGGGAAAATGGAGTGACACTTAAAAATTAAAATATAATTTTTCCAGGAGCTATACAGGAGCCTGAGACCTGACCAGGCACCAAAAGCCTGTTAAGTCTCTTATCTCCAATGAACTACCAAGAAGTCAGAAGTGGAACCACCATGTAGTAGAGCACAAAAATAGCTCAGAGACAGTGCCCAGGCCCTGTGTTTGGGGCAAAAGAAATTAAACACTCTGATCTGGGAATTATAACTACAGCTTGGATATCTTTTGTTGCCAAATGAATCTTTGCTAGCTTCATCAAAAGTATGCAGTACGAGCCTGGCATGGTAATATATCCCCACAATATCAGCTTCTTGGAAGTTGAGAGTTCAGGGCCAACCTAGAGAAGTTTAGCAATATGCTATCTCAAAACAAAATACAGCCAGGTGCTGGTGACTCACACCTGTAATCCTAGCTATTCAAGATGAGGACACTAACCCAGGCAGAAAAGTCCATGAGTTTATCTCCAGGTAAACATCAAAAAGCTGTGCCTCAAGTGGTAGAGCAACCAGCCTTGAGCAAAAATGCGAAGGGACAGCAACCACTCACACAGTTCAAGTTGTAGGACTGGCACAAATAAAAAACAAAAACAAGCAACAACATATGAGTATGAGGTAAGACCCTGGCTCTTAGGTGGATGGCTTGGTGGCTTTGGGAAGTTCACCCAACCTCCTTCACCCCTTCACCACCTCCATGGCTCAAATCCTTTACTTAAAATTTGCGTAGGTGGTGTCTGCTTCCCAGAGTGTACATAGCCAATGAAAGGCCCTGCAGAATTAACAGAACCTTTTTTGTTCCCCCATACTCTCTACATCTCTGTCACCATGGCAACTCTGGCCTGGGAGACAGACAGACAGAGACAGACAGAGAGACAGACAGACAGAAGAGAAAGGAGAGAGATGGAGAGTGAGAGAGAAAGGGAGGGAGAGATGTTCTTTCTTTACTTGGGCATAGAAATGCAGGAAAAAATGGCTGTGGAATCACCCCATCTTAAAGCTCAGGACCCAGATGGTAGGCTTGACTCACCTTGACCTGAGATGTCACTCTTCCCACTGTGGAGGGTCAGTCTAATAGTTGGTCAGATGTCGGTATGGCTGATGGAGCAGTAACTGTAGCCAGCAGCAGCAGCATACACAGGCCCTGCAACTGTGGCCCTTGCTTTCTCTCCTTTCTTCCTGAGGCCTCTAGGTAACCCATTGGTGACCCGGAACACTCTTAGTACATTTTTTTTTTTTGCACTGTCAAGTTTGGTAAACACATTCAGCAGCAGGAACTGGAGAAGGTGGTGTTCCAGGGGTAACACAAGCAAGACAGAAGATGCTTTGGCACCTTGCTTGAATACAATCTAGTCTGGAGAAGATGGAGATGCCCAATATTTTATTTTCACGTATAGAAAAACAAATCCATGTTGCTTTTATAAAAAACCAAAACCAACTCCTTCACTGTCTATGCAGAGTATCTATTTCTTCATTGTCTATGTAAGGAGAATGAAAAGATGGATTGAATTTCTTGGTAATTCAGTTGGTTAAACTTGTGGTTCCAAGGGTCTGATCTCATTAAGGATTTTCTGGAGCCTATACAACCTAGTCTCTGAATGTGTCATTCTCCAATTACAATTTATCTCCTCATTGTTTTCTTCTTCAGCTATTCCAAATTCAGCATCCTCTAGAATTCCCCAAGCAAGTACCCTCTCCACTTAAAAAGACTGTACTGGGCTGGGAATGTGGCTTAGTGGTAGAGTGCTTGCCTAGCATGCATGAAGCCTGGGGTTTGATTCCTCAGTACTACATAAGCAGAAAAAGCAGAAGTGGTGCTGTGGCTCAAGCAGTAGAGTACTAGTCTTGAGCACCTAGGCTCTGAGTTCAAAATCCAGGGCTGGCAAACAAAAGAAAGAATGCGGAGGGAGGGAGGAAAAGGAGGGAGGGAGAGAGGGAAAGAGAAAGAAAAGAAAGCCAGCTTCTGTCAGTTAGCAAATTTATACATACTTCCTTTATGTTTGTGATTTGTCATTTTACTTGATTTATGGAATTGTTTTGCAAATCTGAAATTATTTACTCATAATTTGTCTTGTTTTAAGGTGTTTAAACTTTTATTTATATATTACTCTAAGAGTCATGGGTATTTTAGTTAGCTTAGAAAGCTCTGCTATGAAAACTGTCATTTCCTTAAATATTTCTCATTTCTATCTTTATTCCTATCAGAGTAGATATATACTTAGACCTAGCTACAATTTTTTTCTGTTTCTTAATCCTTTTTTAAAATTTGGTGCCAGTTCTGGGGCTTGAACTCTGGGCCTGGGCACTGTTCCTGAGCCTCTTTATGTTCAAGGCTAGTACTCTCCCACATGAGATTTTTCTGAATGATTTATTGGAGATAAGAGTCTCATAGACTTTTCTGCCCAGGCTGGCTTTGAACCATGATCCATTAGATCTCAGCCTTCTGAGTAGCTAAGATTACAGGTGTGAGTAACTGGCACCTGGCTGTGTTTTTTAATCTTTTTATGTGTTCGATGCCCTGTGTCCTTATGTCAAATTCTGGATATGTTCTGATTTAATATTATAGTTCAAAACTTCCATCTTAAGCTAGAACTAGTAACATTTTATTAAATCTCTCCATTGATTGCATTTTTAATTATTACATTTTTTAGTCCTAAGTATTCTAACTCTTGTTCGACCTGATAGACTTTATAGTTTGTTGCTCTTGCCTCCTATTTTCAACATGCTTATTTACTTCTGTAAACATATTACACAATTTTTTTTGGTTGGTCATGGGGCTTGAACTCTGGGCCTGGGCACTGTCCCTGAGCTCTTCAGCTCAAGGCAAGCACTCTACCACTTGAGCCACAGCGCCACTTCTGATTTTCTGGTTGTTAATTGGAGATAAGAGTCTCATGGACTTTCTTGCCTGGGCTAGCTTTGAACTGTGATCCTCAGATCTCAGCCTCCTGAGTACCTAGGATTACAGGTACATAAATAATTTTAACTGTATTTTTTTGTCTTTTCTTTTTCAGTATTGAGGCTCTAATCCAGGATGTTGCACTTGCTAGGTAAGAGTTTTGCTACTGAGCTACATCCCAGCCCATATATATATATATATATATATATATATATGGCTTAAACTCAGGGCCTGGGAACTGTCCCTGAGCTAATCAAGTCTTGCACCTTACATTTAAGCCACAGCTCCACTTCTGGCTTTTTTGGTAGTTACTTCGAGATAAGAGTCTCACAGATTTTCCTGCCTGGCCTAGCTTCCAACTTTGATTCTCAGATCTTGACCTCCTGAGTAGCTATGATTACAACTCACCCCTAGTCAGCTGCTCTACCCCTCGGCCACACTTCCAGAATCATTTATAATTAATGATTATAGATTATAATTAATGATTACTTATAGACTACTTATAGATATTATAAATCAGCTGCCATCAAGAAGTATTTTTTTCATGGGCCTTTAAGTTCTCAAGGGGAATTTTGTTCCCCATTCAAAAAACAGCACGTTCTGTTACAGGAGATCTCCTGGGAGGAGAAGGTGAGGGTTTAGTTATGCAATCATTCACTGAAGGTGCAGCCCTTTAGGCCCGTATCATGGTGAGTAAGATCTGGGCAGAGTTCTCCCACCTTCTATGTTGGGTAGTTCTCTGGTGCCATTTCTAATCTCTCCATTCTCTGAGTGGAAGTTGATGCTCAAGAGAATGGACTTTGGCAAATATACTCAAGACAAAGGCTACCTTCTGTATTGCTATCAAAATGTCAGATTCCATTAGAATTCATTTGGAGTCTTTTTATTTTTTTTCCAAGTCTATCCTGTAACAAAGGGGTTGACTATCCTATGAAAAACGTATATGTCACCAATGGAGATGAAGCATGCAGATGTAAAAACCCAAGCACAGAACCTGGCACTGGTGACTCACACCTGTAATCCTAGCTTTTTGGGAGGCTCAGATCTGAGGATTGTGATTCAAGACCAGCCCAGGCAGGAAAGTCCTGTGAGACTCTTATCTCCCAGTAACCACCAAAAAGCCAGAAGTGGAGCTGTGGCTCAACTGGTAGAGCACCGCCTTGAACACAAAAGCTAAGGGACAGTGCCTAGCCCTGAGTTCAAGCACTAACACAAACACACAAATTGAACACAGAATGTATAAACCTGGCTGTTTGGCTGTGTGTGTGTGTGTGTGTGTGTGTGTGTGTGTGAGTGTGTGTGTGTGTGTACCTTAGGGAGTATGATTCTAATTTAGTTGGGTTCTTACACTTTTTCTAGAATTATCTTTATGGTTCCTTGCTTTCCCTGGCCCATTTCTATTTCTATTTGATTTGAAACAAAAAAAAAATGTTTATTTGGAAAAAAAAAAAAAAGGAACACTTAGCTTGCAACAAATGCTGAGAAATTTCTGTTACTTGGTCTTAGAAACAACAAATCACTCACAGAAGGCCACAGTTCAGAGGAACACAAATTGTAATAGGTTGAAATGGGAAAATGGCTCTTTTATAAATGAAGTTGACCCAAAATTTCCAGCAGGACAATTGCCTGAAGGAAAGTTTCCTGGGCTCCAGCCTGTGAGGCCTAACAATGGATCACAGAAGCCTGCACAGATGGTTGCGTTCTAAAGTGTGTCTCGTGTTACCGTATTTGCTTCCTATTGTCTCCCCTGAAGTCTACAAGGGAACAGGGAAAATGCTATAACTTTTGAAAAGTGTAAAGAATATTTTTAGGACATGTACAAATACTAACCCTTGATTTATCTTAGACATCTCTTCTTCCTATTTCAGAAATGTGTTCACAGTTAAAATAAGATTGCTTGCTGCAGACACTCTGATTTGTCTTTTTTACTGTCTTTATAGCTAGATAGATCTCTCTGGGTGTTTACTTAGAAAACCTCTTCTATATTCCTGTCTCAAAGGATAGTTATGCCACCATTCAACTTTGTTTTGGAGAAGCAGAAGCCTGGCACTTGTTCTTAACCTTTTCTGTCATCGTAATTACTGCCTTTGTGGCCTAAATTCTCAGAGCCATCATATATGTACATGTATGTATATTTCTAATATGATAATTTTGCTCTAAAGTTTCAGATTATTATTATAAGTACCTAACTCTGTGTGTGTGTGTGCGTGCGTGTGTGTGTGTGTGTGTGTGTGTGTGTGTGTGTGTGTGTGTGTGTGCACCAGTACTGGGTCTTGAACTTGCTTAGCTTTTTGCTCATGGCAGGTGCTCCACTAATCGAGCCACACTCCCTGATTCACAAGTACTTAACTGATCTGCCTGGGTTGGCTTCAAACCACAAACCCTCAGATGGAAGCCTCCTGAGTATGTAGGATTACAGCCTGGGGCACCAGCACCCAGCTAAAATTTATTTCTTCTTATTTTTAAAAATTTTATTCATTTTTGTGCCAGTTCTGAGGCTTGCATTCAGGACCTGGGCACTGCCCCTGAGCTTCTTTTCTTAAGATTAACTCTCTATCACTTGAGACACAGCTCTACTTTTGGCTTTTTTTAATAGTGTTTAATGGAGATGAGTCTCGCAAACTTTTCTGCCCTGGATTAGCTTCAAACCACAATCCTCAGATCTCAGCTCCCTGAGTAGCTGGGATTGCAGGAGTGAGACATGAGCACCCAGCTTAATTTTATTTTTAAATCACCAAATACAGTCATATAGCTGTATCATGTACAATATGATATTTTGATAAATTTATGTTTCACAATTCAGGCTAATTAATGTACATTCCTCACATACTTATTCTTTGTGGGGAGAACATTTAAAGTCTCCTACCTTAGTAATTTTAAAGTTAAAAAAAAGTATCATTAATTGTAGTCACTGTGCTGTAAAATAGCTCTCTTACGCATATTCTTCCTATCTAACTGGGCTTTTCAGCCTTTGACATCTTTACAATGTTCCTACTCCTCAGATTTTATTGATTGCCTTCCTGCCCTTAGTCCTTTCTGTTTCTAGGAGCTGAACAAGACTACATTCTACTTTAGGTAAATGATACCGCCCCAGTAAAAGCTTACTTTAAGCCTGTAGACAATGAGATGATAAACTATTAATTATTTTTTGGGGGGTCCAGTCTTGGGGCCTGAACTCTGGGCCTGGGCGCTGATCCTCAGCTCTTCAGCTCAAGGCTAGCGCTCTACCCCTTGAGCCACAACGCCACTTCCGGCTTTTTTTCTTTTTGCTTATGTGGTGCTGAGGAATCGAACCCAGGGCCTCATGCATACAAGGCAAGCGCTCTACCACTGAGCCGCCTTCCCAGCTCCTTAAATTTTTTTAAAAATGCAACTATTTCTTGGCGCATGCTCTAGCTCTTCATATTTCCTTATTATGTCTTTTTTTCTATCTGATGTTCTACAAAAAGGGTTTTAAGATAGAAAATACCTTTCTTACATTATTTGGGATTTGGAGAAAAATGTGCCTAACTCACCTACAGCTCAGACCAAACTCAAATTTGTTCTTAACATTTCAACCACTAGATCGGTCTCTAGACTAACCCTCCTGTTTCACTAATACAAACCTCTCTCAAAGAATGATGAAATAGAACCATGCGAGGCTGACTCATGCTTATAACCCTAGCTTCTCAGGAGTCTGAGCTTGAAGGATTGTGATGTGGAGCTATCCCAGAGAGGAAAGTCTATCTTATCTCCAATAAACTACCAAGAAAAAGCTGGAAGTGAAGCTGCAGCTAAAGTGGTAGAGCACTAGCCTTGAGCAAAAAGGCTCAGGAACAGTGTTCAGGCCCTTAGTTCAAACTCCAGGACTGGCACAAAAATAAATAACAAAGAAGAAAGATGGAATAGAATGCTCTTGTTCCGTAGTCCTTTGCCTACTCATGCCCACAAATTATCTATCTTCTTAACTCAGAGCAGGATGAAGATAAAATCCTGAGCAGGCCCTTACTGCTTTATCTTTTCACAGTGAGGCAGTCTAATAACTAGCTAGTAGCACAAAACACTGTAGCTTACCGACATTTGAATTAAAAGGGACATTGGAAGCCATTTAACCCAACAACCCAAGTTATGCAGGTATACTTTCTGAAACGCTCTAAGCAGAGGAGAGAGAGCATTTATCCTGACACTCAAAAGTCCTCATTGACAAACGGGACATTTCACTGAGGTGAATGCTCTTTAAAGCAGCATGAAGTGTCTATCAAAGGCCTCCCCCATGCTCACCAACAAATACAACATTCTTTTGAATAAAGCAAGATTGTGGTAGCCAAAACTTCACTTTGGCAGTGGTGTGGCTTTGTGAAGTGCATGTGCATGCTTTAAAACCAAAGCACATGCGTGCACCCTAACACAAACACAATAATCACTGCTTTAATATGCAAATGATTACTTCATTGCATAGATAAGCTCAGAGATAGAGACTTGACCATTCTTCTGCTTCTACCTGCCCTACCTTCCCAACTCTCTTGCTTTGCTGTCATAATTCTACATTCCCTGTAAGAGTGTCACAACTAGACAGAAACTGCACTATCTATCCTGGTCAAGTCAGGGAGAAAATAATTTTCTTTGGTTTGCTTACAAGATACTACTTTAATAAAGAGAAGAGAGAACTGCCCGATAAATAAATGGTCTAAAGACTTAAAGAGAAACTTCTTTGAAGAGGAAATAAGAATGGCCAATAGACACATGAAAAAATGCTCAACTTCTCTAGCCATAAAAGAAATGCAAATCAAAACAACATTGAGATTCCACCTCACCCCAGTTAGAATGGCTATAATCAAGAAATCTAGTAACAACAGATGCTGGAGGGGATGTGGACAGAAGAGAACCCTACTTCATTGTTGGTGAGAGTGTAAACTTGTTCAACCACTTTGGAAAGCAGTATGGAGGTTCCTCAAAAGACTCCACATAGAGCTCCCCTATGACCCAGCAATCCCACTTTCGAGCATTTACCCAAATGATCACAAACAAGGCTATACTAAAGCTATCAGCACAACTCTGTTCATTGCAGCATTATTTGCCATAGTTAAGATGTGGAACCAACCCAGATGTCCCTCAGTAGATGAATGGATCAAGAAAATGTGGTATATTTATACAATGTATTTGTATGCCTCCATCAGAAAAAATGATATTGTCCCATTTGTTAGGAAATGGAAAGACTTGGAAAAAATTATATTAAGTGAAGTAAGCCAGGCCCAAAGAAACATAGGTCCCATGGTTTCCCTTACTTGCAATAACTAGTATAAGTCTAGGACAAGCAGAAAAGGTCAAAGGCTATGTACATATGACCATATAAGATGATATTAAATGAAGTAAATCCCAAGATACGGACCAAGTGGTTTTTTTCTTTCTTGCTGTTGTTATAATGTATTTAAATTGTACTATGTGATTTTTTTGTTTCTCTTGTATGTTCTTCCCCCATGGTATAACCCCTGTTTTCACTGTATTTGATGTTGGTGCCCTGCATCTTATATATACATTTTTCTAATTTGAGAAGGGGAAAGGAAATGACAAAATGCTGAAATAAGGATACAGGATGACCTATTGTAACAATGAGATGTACAAGACACTATGTTGAAAATGAACTTTACAACTTGCAGGGGTGGGGAGGTGCGGTGAGAAGGGGGGAGGGAGATGTTGGGGAGATGGGGAAGGAAGGGATGGTAGGGGGGAAACAAAAGAGGAGGTAACAATGCTCAATAGGAAATGTACTCATTACCTTACTCATGTAACTGTAGCCCTTTTGCACAGTATTTTTACAATATAAAACATATTTAAAAAGAGAAGAGAGATTGCTAATCAATATCTTCTTTTTTCTACTTATTTACCAGTTTTTTTTCCACACTGCCAATAAATCATTTTGTTCTTAAAATTACCTGAACTACAATAGATTGGTGCATCCCATTCCTATGGACATAAGGAACTCGCAGTGATTTCTATGTGAAATGGTAGTGTGAGCAGACCTATCTAGCTTTATGATAGATCTACTTCTGTGCTAAATCTAAAAAACCCCGTTTCCTGGGATGGTCTTTCCCTCTTTTACTTAGCAAGGTGCCTGGCAGGGACGAGCTTTAAATTTGGTATCTGTCATTGCCTTTCTGGGTTCAAATGATATCATGAAGAATAGTGCACAGGTGAAATTAGCAGTGGGCTATGAGAGTGGTAACTTCATCTTCTCATGTGCTTGTGTGTGCATATTAGAACACTTAGATGCTTCCTGTAGACTCCCAGAAAGGCACAAAGCATGATGCCACTGGGATGCAGAGAAATGGATGGGAAGTATGCAGGCGATACATCAATCATGAGGCATATTCATCTTCCTTGGCCCTGAGTGATTCAGCACCCTCTCCCTTCTGCATTCGGTGCCTTCAAGGTCTGTCCATCCTCAGTGGACTATAATCATTTCACACACTCCTCTAATAATATCCTCGGGGGCTGTCATGTATTTTCCTGTGTTTGCCCTATTATCTCTCCCTGCTTGAGTCTTACAGATAATTGATGATGCTCTAGTTCATCATCTTTCTTCCTCTTTTGTTCACCAGGTACCTCGGCCTTCCAGGGGCTCCTTTATTGAGAATCAATGTCTTCTCGTAGGTAATTGATCACCATAGACCCAGGGATTCTCGATTCATCGTGAATCATCATGAATAATCAAAAAGCAGTGGCTGTGCTGCTGGCAGAGTGCAAGCAGGTGCTGGACCAGCTCTTGTTGGAGGCGCCAGATGTGTCAGAAGAGGACAAGACCCAGGACCAGCGGTGCAGAGGTGAGGATCTGCTGAGAGAGAGACCAGCGGTGAGCCCAAAGGTTCACCCTCATCTTCCTCGCCCCAACAGCACGCGCTCATCTCTGTCCTATTTTTCTTCTTTGGGCAGATGACCACTGAAAAATGAGTGGATTTCTAGGGCATGAATGGGACATAGGGTACAGGCAGACGGGCCAGGGAAGGCAAGCCTACTTTGTTGCAATGAATTGCTGTCAGTTCTAATTTTAGGCTTCAGTACACATGAGGCTTCAAGAAACAGTTTAGTTCAAGAAGAACAAAGGGTCCACGTTGCGGCGGGTGCACGTAAATTTCAATTATTAAAAAATTGAAGCAACTTCTGAATGGTGGCCCAAACAAGGGTTTTGTGCCTCATGAATTTCCATAGACTTCTACCATTTCTACAAATATGTCATCTTACCCGTCTCATCTCTCATGATCACCATTCTTCTGGCCATTCATAAATATCATCCACTCATCTCAGTAAATACTGGGTGCATCATGGCCAGGTGTTAAGAGTTTGGTGTTTTTGCTCATCTCAGAGTTTGTACTACTCATACTATAGAAAAGCCATTCTGTCTTATCTTTTTTATTTTTTGCCAATCCTGAGGCTTGAACTCAGGGCCTGGGTGTTGTTCCTGAGCTTCTTTGTGTGGAGGCTCTACCACTTGAATCACAGTGTCAGTTCTGGCTTTTTCTGAGAAGTTTATTAGAGATAAAAGTATATCACAGAGTTTCCTGCCCAGGCTGGCTTTGAACTACAATCCCCAGATTTCAGCCTCTTAAGTAGCTAGGATTATAGGCATGAGCCATGGGTGCCGGCTGACAAGTCATTCTGGGGGTATTCTGGTCCCAAGATCTAGAAAGTGAGAACAATTCTTAGTCCTGGAATGATTTCTTTTCAACCATTCAAATAAATGTCCCTCTGTTTCTATAAGTAGATCTTTTATCATTCCTTTTAACATTTTTCTTTTGACTATTAGTATTTTAATGCTTTTTTTAAAAAAATTACTTCCTACCCAAATAACATGCCCAAGTAAAAGCCACACTCCTCATCTCTTTTGTTATAGATGTTGTTTGTGTGCTGGGGAAAAGATTATGAGAAAGTCTTTTCTCCCACTTTCTCATCTACACACACACATTTTCACAGAGGCACTACAGTTGCTGGAAACCTCTTATCTGTGCTCCTTTTAAGGCAAAATTCTCATGTGTCCAGTCAGTTCCCAACACCTTCACATGGATATGTTCTCTCGTTACTAGCCAGATGCACCCAGGTATGACTTTTCTTAGGCTTGTAAATCTGAGATCACTGCTGCTCCCGGATATAAGTCCCTTATCTGGGATTGGCAGGTTCCCAGTGCCTAGAGAAGGAATTAGTAGCTGCCTCTCCTTCCTGGAGACAATGAATTTTTGGTTTGTTTGGTGGTAAGGCTTGAACTCAGGGCCTATGGGCTTTCCCTGACCTCTTTTTGCTCAAAGCTAGTACTCTACAACTTTAAGCCACAGCACTACTTCCGGTTTTCTGGTGGTGAACTGGAGATAGGAGTCTCCAGGACTTTCCTGCCTGGGCTGCCTTCAAACTTTGATCCTCTCAGCCTCCTGAGTAGCTACAATCACAGGTGTGAGCTGCCAGCGCCCAGCTTTGTGGTTGTTACTGAAGTTTCTCTCTTGTCCTCTAACTACATCAGACTGTTTTCCCCATCCACATACCTTTAAGCTTTGTGTTCTCCCTAGTGAAAACTCAGAACTCCTGAGCCGATAGCATTTTTCTTTTCCTTTTCCTTCCCAAGTGCCACAGAATAGGGGAAATAATCTGTTTGGTTCCAGATAAGACAAATCAGGGCTGACAAAAAAAAAAAAAATCACTAAATTGGAAGTGGAAACAAGAGGACTGTCCATGATCCAGTATGGCCTGTAGGGAAAGACAGTTCAGAGGAGGCAAAATAAGTTGTAAAGAATAAGCTTTCAGCTGGGCACCAGTGGCTCATGCCTGTAATCCTAGCTACTCAGGAGGCTGAGATCTGAGGATCATGGTTCAAAGCCAGCCTGGGCAGAAAAGTCCGCGAGACTCTGATCTCCAATTAACCACTAGAAAACCAGAAGTGGCGCTGTGGCTCAAGCGGTAGAGCACTCGCCTTGAGCTGAAGAGCGCAGGGACAGCATTCAGCCCCATGACCGACCCAAAAAAAAAAAAAAAAAAAGAATAAGCTTTCTCTGCCAGGGCCATGCCTGTGATTGCAGTACTCAGGAGAATCTTGAGTTCAAGGCTAGCCTAGATTACATAATAAAAAGTCTCAAAAAAAATAACACTTGCATTGTTGTGAAGAAATTTAGTAATCTGAAGCTGAAGTGATTCAGTTCCAAAGTATGCTGAAATGCCGGCAACCTCAAATCATGCTTCTTTGGTCACATCACCACCCACGTTCTCAGGGCCCAGATAATTTACCAAACAAGAACACTCTTTCTAAAATAATTTTAAAATATTTTTATTATCTTTAAGTAGTTATATAAAGGAGTTGTCACTTAACAAATCAGTTTATGAATACAAAATTAACAAATCAGTTTATGAATACAATGCATCTTGATCAAGAGGACATACTTTATTTGTTGTTATTCTAGTCTTTGGGCTTGAACTCAGGGGCTGGGTGCTGTCCCTGAGCTTCTTTTTAACTCAAGGCTAGCTAAGCATTCTACCACTTCAGCCACAAGCCACTTCTGGCTTTTTCTGAGTAGTTTACTGGCAAAAAAAAAAAAGCCTCATGGACTTTCTTGCCCAGGCTAGCTTCGAACTGCAATCCTAAAATCTCAGGCTTCGGAATAGCCAAGATTACAGGCGTGAGCCACCAGTGTCTAGACCCAGAGGACATTCTTGAAAGTGAAAGGTGGCCCTGTGGAAAGGTACACGTAGAGCACAGCACACAAGCCTGCATAGCCAGATCACTCCTAACTATTGAGAACTTCCCTTGGGGAAGTTTGCTCTGTATACAGGTATTGAGAATATTTTCAGAAATTGAAATAATCTCAGTGATTGGATAAGAGCCACATTCTATAGCAGAATGTGACCCTGTAAGTCCCCCATGCCAGGACCCTGGTTCCATTGGAGGAGACTATGGTAGAACAGGTGTTCAGGAGTTCTGGACTACTGAGTCAGAGTGGGAGGGTTCACTTCCCTGCAAAACTTGAAAGCCACCATGAGTTCTCAGACCAATCACTCATCAGAGTTCACCTGATATCCCCTCAGTGCCAAGTAGTCCTTCTCTGCCTGGAAACATGGGGACCAGTCCACAAAAAGACACAGAGGAAAGCTGGGCACCCATGGCTCACACTTGTAATCCTAGCTAATCAGGAGGCTGAGATCTGAGGATTGTGGTGCAAAGCCAGCCCAGGCAAGAAAGTCTATGAGACTCTTTTTTCCAATTAACCACCAGAACACAGGAAGTGGCACTTTGGCTCAAAGTGGTAGAGTGTTAGCCTTGAGCAAAACAAAATAAAACGAAACCCTCATGGATAGAGCCCAGGCCCTGAGTTCAAGCCCCTTGATTGACAAGAAAGAAAGCAAGAAAGAAGGAAAAAAAAGCAAACAAGCAAGCCAGCAAGCAAGCAAGAGAGAAAGAAAGAAAGAAAAAAAAAGAAAGAAAGAAAGAGAGAGAGAGCACGAGAGAGAGAGAGAGAGAGAGAGAGAGAAAGAGGAGGGAGGGAGGGAGGGAGGAAAGAAAGAAGGAAGGAAGGAAGGAAGGAAGGAAGGAAGGAAGGAAGGAAGGAAGGAAGGAAGGAAGGAAGGAAGGAAGAGAGAAAGAAAGAACAAAACAAAATTAGATTCTTCCTTCTTCTTCTTGCCTTTCTTTGTTTTGTCTTTACTTATTTGCACTGTTTAGTATGCCTCAGGCTTTCATAAGACTAACGATGTCTCTTTACCTTGATATTCTTCTGCCCATCACGGTATGATTTTTACAAAGCATGGGACATGACACCTGTCCTCAGGAAGCTTGCAGCCCAATTCAGACAGAAGTAGTCACAGCGAAGTGTGAAGAAGGATGAAAGAGCCTTCCGGTTTGGGAGTGCAGAGAGGGGACTTTTCACTTCCACTGTGAGGTCCCAGCAGGCTGAGAGGACCAGGCATGTATGTCTGCATGAAATGCCGAAGGCAGTAGACCTGACTCTGTCCATCAAGGCATGGCGTAGACAGTATACACAGAACAGAAAGGGTGAAATGAAAGAATTCAAGCATTTTGTGCAGAGTGATGTCCTGGTCCATTTTGTGAGAAAGAGGATGGACAAATAGAGAAGATGGAATAGCTAGAGTGAGACTGGAAGCGTGAAGTCAGATTTTTTTAAAACATACTGAGCAGGAGGAAATGGGGCATTAGATAACCAATTAGATTCAGGGAGAAAGAACACAAAACTAGATTGATCAGGCTTCAGGTTTGGGTGACAGATTTTTTTATTCAGTTTTGGGTATGTTCAGTGTGAGATGCCTTTGAGACAAGTACTTGGTGATTTATAGTTGGATAAGTAGGTAGATGATAGATAGATAGATAGATAGATAGATAGATAGATAGATAGATAGATAGAGCGAGCCATAACCTTTACTGAGAACAAGTTTCTTTCAGTTATCAACATTACACAGTTTCAAAGTTTACACAGTGGAAGTGAATCATCTGAACAAGTAGAAACCAGAACTAGAAATAGACTTGAATTGAATAAATTCACCACTGATGATAGAAAATAGAAGAAAAAATCCACTTTCCAGAGTTGCTAGGCTTTAGAGTTTGGCTAGGAGACTGTTGAAACAGTATACGTAGACTTGGTGCCCACAGAGACATTTTATACAACTACTACTTCAGAACAGGACATTTTACCATGAACTGAGATCATTTCACATCTCATGTGTGTGGTTGTTGTTTTTCATAATTCTCTGTGTTCAAGTGCGTTCGATTCACAGAGCTAAGATGCAACACACTGAAGCCAAAAGAAGTGGAACAAATTACTCTCCATTACCCAGCTGCCACAAACCCCACATGCCGTGCCATTCCAATCCCTTTCTCGTTTTACAGGGAAAATAATATTTCCTTCATCCCTTTCTCTGATTGTTCATGCAGAGATAGACAGTGAAGTGCTTTGCTTCCTGCTAAAACCCTTTCTTAATGCCTGACTACCCCCAGTTTACCCTCAGGGCACAGTAGAGCAGGGCCAACCTTGACAGATAGCTCCACGCTATTATTCTTTGAGTCTGAACCAAATGCTTAGACCAGCGGGCAAGAGGTAGGGGAAAGGTTTTCTCACTCTCTGTCTCTGAGATGCTTCATCATAACATGGGTAGCTCTGTAGCCTTTTCTTTGACTGCAATTTCCTAACCTGAACTCTGACCTTTGCAGCTTTACTCCCCAGCGAGTTAAGGATTCTGATCCAGGAGGCAAAGGAAATGAAGTGGCCCTTCGTGCCTGAAAAGTGGCAGTACAAACAAGCAATGGGCCCAGAGGACAAAACAAACCTGCACGATGTGATTGGCGCCGGGCTACAGCAGCTACAGGTAGGAAGAGCCATACCACCTGTCCCCTCTGCCCCCAAAGGAGCCATTTAGACTCTAAGTGGTCTAATAGATTAAATTTCGTTGAAGCACAAGACAAGCCTACTCTTATGGTCAGTCAATTCTGCCAGATTGACTAATGGAGGGGAAATAGCTGTTTAAAAAGCATCAACTTGTCCATGTGAGGAAACCAAATGGAGTAAAAGTGAGAAGCGTGGCCAGTGGGTTCAATCAAGGCCTGTCTACTCGAAATATTGATGTCTTTCTGGGATAAAGAATGTTTGTGATTTCACCGTGCCTTATAACTTATTCATTTTGAAATGATACTTGGATAGCTTGAAAAAAAAAATCACTACGCTCGCATCTGTGCGATTTGCTATCTAAGCTATGAATTCTGTCATGTCCTTTCCCCAAACCCATCCTGGGTCCTTCCATGGCTTCTCATGACTCAGGAAACAACGTGAGTCGTTGCCATGTTTCTTTCTCAACTCACTAGAATTGTAGTGAACTACCTCCACTGAGGGCCAGAGACAACCTTAAGAATAGCAACGGGACCCAGAGAACTTAGGGTTCAAGCTTAGGTTCTGCTCTTTTTAAAAGGAGCAGGGCTTTCCTTTCAGGTTGCATTGCTTTTGATTCTCACTCTCCAAGATAATTGTCAAGAAAATCTACTTTTTTGTATGATTTTTTTTCTTACATAAATATACATTTGATGCCAGGCACTGGTGGCTCACATTTGTAATCCTAGCTATTCAGAGGCTGATACCTGAGGATTGCAATCTGAAGCCAGCCTGGGTAGGAAAGTCCTTGAGGTTCATTGCCTCCAATTAACTACTAAGAAGCCAGAAGTAGAGCTATGACTCAAGTGGTAGAGCACTAGCCTTCAGCAAAAAAGCTTAGGACTAGTGCTCAGGACCAGCATACATGCATGTATGCACACACACACACAACAATACATACATAAATTAACATATATATATACACACACATATACATATGGGTGACAATGATAATAGTTGTTTAGGGATCTACTAAGAGTGGTTGAGGCTCTATTTCTCTCTTCTCGCTGGAAAACCTGCAACCAAACCAGATTAAGCAGACCGAAGGATTTCAGGCAAAGGAAAGAGAATACTTGGAAAGAATGTAATGACCTTTTCTGAGGTTTTTAAATAAATATGTTTGGCATTAATGGAGGAGCCGAATAAAATAGTAACTCTAAATTACATATGATTGATTTGATGAAGTGTTCATCAAATTGTCCAAGCAACCCTCTAATGGGTTATTTTCATCACCATAACTCTTTTTTTAACAAATAAAAATATTAAGTACCGAAAGATAAACTGGCCCAGGGAAACAAATGAGCAACGAATGGAACAATTACTTTTAATTTCCTCCTTTGTGCAATTTCAACCCTGCCATCAGAAAGCCCTGGGTGAAGGAGCTGGTACTACAGGTGGGGCTCTGCAACTTGGCCTGATCTGTAGCAGAATCCTCTGCAGAGATGCAAGTGTTTCCTGTTTGTGCTGTTCAACATGGCCATCACCATTCTATTAGGCTCTTGAATACTTGTAAAGGCGAGTGGAACTGAAGATCTGAATTTGTGCTTTATCTTTTTTTTTTTTAATGAACATCTGCCTAAATAATCACATTTGGCTGGCGTTAACATCTTACTGGTTAGGATATCTCTAAACCAGTGACTCTTCTAGCAACACCTTCTAACAATAGGGCATGGAAACTTAAGCCCCAAACAAAACCCCTTACCTAACCACCTCGCCAAAAATCTTATGTGGAGGTGAAGGTCTAAGACGCAAAATATACAACCACTTCACGTGATTCTGGGAATCCTTGATGCAAAGAGAAGAAATAGGAGACATGTGGAGAGAGAGACCACAGCTTGACCAAGGAGGCAGAGGCAGAAGACAAGAGGTGAGGCGAAAAGGAGAATTGGGTGTGAAAATTGTGAGATCAACCAACTGGAAAAGAGCTCTCTCCTCCATTGGTTGTGCAAACTGTTGCTTAGACTGAGCCATTCCAGAATGGCGGCTACACCTGCTCGAAGATGCCTTGTGTGTGTGTGTGTGCATGTGTGTGTGTGTGTGTGTGTGTGTGTGTGTGTGTAGTCAGGCCAGTGCAGACAAGAATTCTAGGAGCCTTCCAAGGAAAACCAGAACCAAAGAGGCCCACAGGGAGTAACCCCTGCTCTGACTTTGGGGCTTAGAACGCTCCTCTGGTTTTTGAATCTAGGCTGAGACCTTGGGGCGCAGCACATCACCACAACCACGGCTTTTCTCTCCTTCTTCCATCTTGTTATTCTCCTGGTCCCCAGTCCTCCTTCCAAACTTGATAGTGAAAATAGTTTTTTTAAAAAATGAAGCCAGTTCAAGGCTTCTATATTTGGGGGGGTTCATGTGAGCTGAGAGCTAAACCACTCAGGAATGTTTTCAGAGTGCTGGGCGTCTGTATAGTACATGCATTTCACCACAGTGGCATCAAAAGCCAGAGAATTTAAGAAGTGTGTGCCTCTCACACGAGGTCATTCAGGGGCAGCTCTAAGAATCTGCATCGGGGCCTCCTTTAGTGCCTAATGTATTTAATCTGGGAGCTTTCTGAACTCTGAGCTTCATTTTCTTTAGCTTAGCCAGCAAGCTATAAATTAAGCAACCACACCTCCTAAGACTTTTAGGATGTTTTCCTACTGTGCCAGGCCCAAAGTGCACAACTGCTTGACCCACCTTGTTTTGTACATGTGGGGGAGTCCAGTGCCCCCTGGGCCAGGCTCCCTCTAGCTCGCCCTGCTTAGTGTCTGAGCCTGTTAGAACAGCTTGGTTAACTTTCTTGATTGGGTTTTGTCCTGGTGTGACATTGGGGATCAACTGCTGAGGACTTTTTTAAAAAAAACTTTAAAAGGAATCCTTCCCATAAAACGTTTTCCTTCCACTTTACAAAGTCAGCACAACACTTAGTTTGCAAATGGTATATCTTTTCATTAGTTCCACAAACAACAGACCCAAAGTCAGAAGAAAAGGCTTAGGGAAAAGGCTAAGTGATGGTCGACTCTTCAATAGCTTTCAGTTGGTGAAAATGCGGATCGCTCGTAATGGCACTACTCAGGCTGAACCTAATTAGTAAATGCAGAAAAATGGGGTGTGTTGTATGCCTTCTGTGTCCCCCTCTCCTCCCAATCTCCCTCCCCAGCCCTCTCCTTCCCTTCCCCTAATTTCTTGTCCTCAACCTTTTCCTTCCTTCCCCCATTCCTTCCCATCTATCTCCTCCCCAGCCTTCCCTTTCTCTCTTCCCTTCTCCTCATGTTCCCCCTTTCCCCCTTTCCTCCTTTCCCCCTCTCCACACCCCTCCCTAGCCCTCTCTTTCCCTCCTCCCTCCCTCTTCACTCTTTTTTCCTTTGGTGTGTGTGGCCACAGACAGATATTTATGGCAGGGGCCAACTTCCTTTACACTCCACACAAAGCTTGCTCACTTGAGAGAGTTTGTCTGCGCTCTCCCAGAAAAAACACCTGCAGGACGCTCCCCCAGAAACCTGGAGAGATGGGAGATTAATGTGGCTGTAATAGCCAAGCAGTGTTTTGGGTATTATGCCCTCTCCCCAGGTAGATGGGTCTTTTCCGAGATGATACCAATTATTTATTGCTGAAACATCTGTTGATAACTGCAGCTGCCCTTGTAAAACAAAGGATATCATGGGGTCACAGGCTATAGGGACCTCAAATCCTACCTCATGCTAGCTTTGGTCTATTCAACAACACCCCCAAGTCCATGGGCTACCATCATCTTTAGTGTCTCATCGTGCCGTGGAAATACTTTATAAACACTGCCCTGCCTTGCCTTGCCGGCTTTGAAGTATTATTTCATCTTCATTGGTAATTTATATTCCAGCGCCATTGTGCTGTGGGAAAAAAGAAGGGGAACTTTTTTTTTTTGTTGTTTTCCATTTAATTGTATATCGCCTGACACTTTGACCCGTATTATTAGTATTAGTCAGGAAAAAAAAAAAAAAAGAGAAAGGATTTTCTCCCTCTCTTATTTAAAAATAAAATTTCAAGGGAAAGTAAGCACTCCTTCAGCTCTTTTCAGTCAAAACAATGTTTACACTCCAAGAGAGAAAGATGAAAAGCACGAGCAACTTTTTTTTTTTTCAAGTGCCGGAGAAGGGCAGTTCAGTTTTTGAAAGAGAACAGTAAAGGCCCTTATAAATATCATTCAGCTAAACCTTTGATGGATTTTTTTTTAAAGGATTGCAGGCATTTAGAGTTGGCTTCCATCTCTTGGCTTTGGTGCAGAAACAGACCACTGACTAGAAAACCCGGCCCTTGTATGTAGTGCCAGGGGAAAGGGGCTGTAGTATGGATGCTACCTTTGAGGAACTTCCCCCCCCCCCCCCCCAGTAACTTTCACTTTTCTAAAAGGAGCAATTTCTATACCATCAAAAGGAAATCTGAAAATAAAGCTTTTGAAAAAGGAGAGAAAGGGTGAGCTGAGATTTGCATGTCTATAGCAATTGGGAACAAGAATTGATTGCTCAACCTTGATTTTGAAATTCCCTGCAAAAAGGCTGGCCTCTCCATACCGGTTTCTTGGCGGAAGGAAGCTGCTGTGTGCCACTCCTGCTTCGATGGCAGCTCCTCTTCAGAGATACGGGGTAATATCCAAGGGTTGGTACCAAAATGCAGTCTGAGAAGAGAAGAGGCCAGCTCGGGGTGGCATTTTTTCGTTCTCATTTCCTTTTCTACTCTTGAGACATGGGAATCTGGTAACTTTTATGCTGTGAATGTTTGTTGAAAATTCTATGCTACCTGAGAAAAATTTGAAGAGAGAACCCCCTCTCCTCCTAACAATTAAATGGTTAGTTATTTCTTTATGCTATTTTGGCTAAAAAACAATCAAAAAAAAACTTTGTAGATGACTAATAAATGGAAAAGTTTGGCTTCCAGAATACTCTTTTGTTTGTTGGTTTCTAAGATGTCTCTTCAGATCATCTTGGTACCTTC